CAGCCAGCCATGCTGGCTGGGGAATTCTGGGAATTGAAGTCCACTCATCTTAAAGTGGTCAAGTTTGGACAACACTGCTTTAAGTGATAGAAAGAAGAAAAAACCAAAACACACTGCATTGTTGAAGTTCTCCAAACTTATCTCTGGGTGGCAGACATTTTATTTCCCCACCAGGGAATATCATCAGTGCAGGAGTTTTGGAGAAATGAGTGTTGTTAGTTATCAACCCTACCTCCTACCTGATGTCTTACCTACTTTGCATGTGTTTAGGTGCAGGGTGGTTGTTTTTGAGGTGTTATATATTTGGTTGACTAAATGGTGATTCTCTTTACCTCTCCGATGGTTTCTTCCTGTGTGGTTGGTGGTGTTGATAACCGTGATGGGATGGCTCCATGGAAGGAAGGATGGAAGGGCATTATTTTTTTACTGTGATTGTTGAAATCCAGATGTGTTTTGGTTACCAGGCTGATATGGAGATAGTGCATCTATCTGTTGGTTGATTGCTGTGTGATGGGAGGATGTTGGTGGATGTTGGGCTGATGGGCTAATGTTGGATCTTTACTTATGTCTTTTGATACATCCATAGATATGGATTAATTCTGTATGCCTGTTAATCACTGCTTGGTCCAACTCCCACACATGAATTGTCTTGCATTTTTCGATCGGGCTTGTTCCACATTTTCCACAGTTTAATACCTGAGGTTGTTTGTGTGAAGGGAGATTAGTAAATAAAATACAGTGCACAAATCCCAAGACACAAGTCTTCATGAATACACAGAAAGTAAGCTAGGGATGACCAAGAATAAGCAGTGAGAAGATACAGTTTAACAACTGTAAGAGATTAGCATTGCTGCAAACAGATGGGCCTGAAGAAGTTAGCCAAACACAGAACAGCAGGGAGACCAGCCATTCCAGCCATTCTTTGTATTGTCACTGGAGAGCAAGAGTTGACAAGCAATGCCATCTCCATGGTTCTTATTCAGCGCAACCAAGGAAGAGGAACAATTGTTCCGAAAACTGTTTCTATGAAGTGATGTTTATATAAATGCCATTAGAATGAACTGTGCACGTGCAATTATGCTTGCCATGAATACCTTTCTGTGCAAGAATAGTACTTCGAATGCCGCTGAATTTAATGATTCTTATCTTTGGCATAGGATTTCAAACAGCTTCAACCTTGTGCAGGATCGCAGCCTTACTGTATTTTTCTCTTCATTATAACTGGTTGAACAAAAAGGTTATATTTTGCTCCAAGTCACAAAACTTGTTAAGCTCATTAACTGCTAGCAAATTTACACTTCTCTCCCCATCTCCAGTAAAAGCTCTCAACCTTATCACCACGGGGCATTGTCAGGAAACATCACATCAGACCAAACATTTAAGAAATGCTACTGGTGTCTGTTTCAATTTGCACAAAACGGATGAGTCATACTTTAGATTTTTATATAAAAAATAATAATGCACAAAGGTAAATTTACACATAAGAAAAAATATGCCTAATCTGTGTTTTCAATGCAGAAAAAATATGCCATTAATTGAACGCTGTAGTCAAAACAGTATTTAAAAAGAGAGTAAGTAACAAATGGTGATACATAAAGCAGCCCCGGGAAATAAATATTCCCTTTGTTTTTGGAAGTTATATATGAAATCACAGCAGCTTGGCAAAGCACAACTGCAGGGGTAAGAAGAGCTTTACAAAACATGAAAACAAAAGGCCATGTAATTAGCATTTATTTTTACAAAGGCCCAATGATTGTATTCTTTAACAGGATGTGTCTATTAGTCAAAAGAATATTTATTGAAAATCATATAATCAATCAGCACCTAAGTCATATGTGCACCGAGGTAAGACAACCAAAAATACAGCATTGCCAATATAATTATTGGGAGCCTCTGTTATTTTTCATTAAGGTACAAAGACTAAGCAGAACGAGGCTGGGTAAACCCAAGCCGTCATCTCTCTTCCAACAGCAGCCAGAGAATACAATGCCATGCTATCCCTAGACATGGAGCTGAATGTTTAACTGATTTCCTAGCTACTAGCTATGGCTTGAAAGACCTATCTTTCAAGTATATATCAGAGCAAGGACAATGAGAAGATTTTTTTTGTTTACAGGTTGCCCACTGCTGCTCCATGTCACGATTTCCATCATATACGAGGTCATGACACGGAACAGCAATGGGCAACCTTTTTAAAAAAATTCTTCTAATATTCAAGGACTTCAGGAGGCAAGGTCAGTTATGTGGTGACATTATCCAAGCGGGGGTAATTTATTTTAGAATGGAGGCGTGGACGGGGGGAAGTAGGCTTTGTCTGCCACGTTTCAAAGTAAGTGTATTATGTATCATACCTGCTCTGGCCCAACCTTTAGAAGTGGTTATCATGAGGATAATTGCAAGCTGTAGAACCTCCCACAAATGTTAGTCTCCTTAACTGGAGGTCTAATGATCTTTAATCTGATATCTGGAAACAGAGGTGGAAAATATCATATATTTTAAGTTTACTACCTGCTATGGGGAAGAGTGGATCAGTGTTATTACAACCTCTATAATGTCCAGTGAAGCAATACTTGGACTTAAGCTAAAAAGCCCCTTGCACACATACATCTTCCTTGGGAAAACTAAGCACTAATAATCAATCCATCAAATAAGCAGCCATAATCAATCCATCAAATAATCAATCCATAATCAAATAAGCAGCCATAATCAATCCGGTGCTAGGAACAGCCAGGTGTGAAGAATGTTGCAAGCAGTAACGAGATAGTGAAAGTGCTAACTGCAAGAATGCTAACTAGGACAAAGAGGGACTAACAGTGCTGGGAACCCAAGGCTTTTAGAGAGCAGCTAGAGGAATGAACCCACTTCTGATATGCTTTCTTTGACCCTTTATTTTAATTCAAGGGTGCCACTGCATCCAGCTGCACCTGTCTCACTTTATAGCCATGCACATTAACTTCCACATGCTGTAACCTGATCAATGAATCACAGTCAAATTAAACACATAATTTACATAACTCTATAAAGAGGTTTGGTAGTTCGCTGCTCTTTAGACTTGTCTTTGCCTCCAGCACCAACTAATAACCCAATTTATGCTTCAATGATGGTGTGCTGGCCTCCAGTTTAAAGGAACTCAAAAATTCTACAATTCTTTCAGCTTTTGTATGGGGATTATATATGGAGACACCCGTATTGGTCCGTTCAGAGCAGGGTTTTTCAAACTTGTCAACTTTAAGATATGTAGACTTCAACTCCCATGCTGGCTAGGGAATTCTGGAAGTTGAAGTGCACACATCTTAAAGCTGAGAAGTTTGAAAAACACTGATTTAGAATAAGCTCAATTTTTTATTTTTCCAATGTAAAGTTCACTTCTTCCTGTTTGTATGTCAGTTGGGGTGTGTGTGTGTGTGTGTGTGTGTGTGTGCATACACACACACACACACACACACACAAGAGACTCATTTTGGTGTAGTAGTTAAGGCATCAGGCTAGAAATTGGGAGACCGTGAGTTCTAGTCCCTTTGGGCTAGGCACAAAGCCATTTGAGTGACCTTGGGCCAGTCTCTCTCTCTCTCTCAGCCCTAGGAAGGAGCCAATGGCAAACCACTTCTGAATAAGCTTGCCAAGAAAACTGCAGGGACTTGTCCAGGCAGTTTCCAAGCATCGTTCACAACATACACACATACATACATTATGCATGAAATTAGTATGTATTTTTGGCAATGATTCCTAAAAACTAATTTTGTGTACTTTAGGTATGTGGTGAAAAATATGTTCCAGGTCATCTGCCTTAACTAGATTTTTATTAATTTTTGTTTGTTTCGTTGTATTTTTATTTTTCTGTTCACAACCCAAGGCATATTGATTGAGATGGGTGGCCATCTAATTTGTTAAACAGATAAATCAGATGGAAAATGCCAACTATGTAAATCTGTATGGTTTAGTTGATGTACGGTTTTGCCATCTCTGACTGGAGCTGCACGGAAGTTACAGTATCAAGCTGGGCAATTAAAATACAAGTAAATCAGGAAAAGGAAGCATTTATGCATTGCAAACGAAAGGTGTTGAAATTACTCTAGCAATACTTACAGCTACAGTCCCGGTCTACATAAATACACATACATCCTCTGCTCTAAGTGCATGTCTCGTAATAAAAATATTGAAGGCTCCAAAGAATCAAGATCTAGAAGTTTTTTATATAATGTGTGCTCCTTGCATACTTGAGGCTAACCATTTTTCTATCCTGTCATAAGCAACGTAAACGTATGAGCCAAGATCAATCAAGCAAAACGCTTTTGTTAAATTTATTGCTAACCTTCCATTGGAGTATTACCGTCTGGTCGATTTGCAAAGACAACATCCACATATTCAAGCTGCAGTCTCTGGAGAGAGGCTTTTAATCCTGGAAATGAAACAGGGGAACATTAGAGTCAAGCAGAGGGGCCTGAGCACATGACAGGGAATTTGATGGCTCAGAAGCATCATACATCTAAGACTTCCTCAAAGGTAGAGTGAGGATAGATAAAATTATACTGCCTATTAAAAAGAATCAAAGCAAGAGATTATGAAGAATTTATCACTTTTCGCATGGTTTCATTTTCTCTGTGTGTTTTTTATGATGAAAACTGGATTGGAGTAGGCAAGCATTTGCCAGTCAAACCCTAAAAGTACGTCCTCAAGGGATAGGGTTTAGAGATACATCCTGTTTTAGGTTACACTGACCACCAGGAGGCACTGTTTTCATCTTTATTGGGAATCTTCAGAAGTAGGTAGCCAGATGTTATTCTATAGGGTTCAAACTCTCTACTGGGAATTGAATTCACGGACCTTCACGTTTTATACAGTCTATAAACAGTGCATTAGCTTTAGGAGTTATCGACTCAGTTGCAGGAAGGAACATCCTGCACTCAGCAGGTGCAGGAAGGAACATCCTGTTTTAGGGTACATCTAATGAAGTTCATGTCACAGTAGTATGAGTGTTGGTTTGGGATTTATTTATGTATTTGCATATCCCCAGTCCCCAAAGTATTCTGCACTGATATAGTTCCACACAGTTAAAAATTATTCAAGAGTTTCCCCAAACTGAATATCCAAAATAGATGAATAACAATAATAATAAATAATAACAACATAGCCCTATAATAATAAACATATGACTCCAATGTGGTAGAACAAAAGAAAATAGGTATCAAGGTGAGATCTGTAAAATAGGTATTAAGATGAGATCTTTGGAGCACCTTCTTCAAACTGGCTAGAACTGGGGATGATGGAAACTGTAGCCTAACCATCTGGACAGTACCACATTGGGGAAGGTTGTCATCATCTTTCTTCTGTTATGATGATGGTAAGACAGAGAGAAGTGTCTCTGATACTCCTCTAAATATATGGACAGATTTGTAAAGGAGAAGGCAGTTCCTGATATCTCACATGGGCATTAAAATATTTATTTGGCTAGTTTACTTGTCCTACTTTATATCCTGCCTTTTCTCCATGGATATCTTCCTTCTTTATAGATAGGTTCAGCTGAGGCAGGTAGGTTTGGCTGAGAGTTAGAGACTGGTCCAAAATCATCCAATGAGTTTCCACAGCTAAGGGTGAACTTAAACCTGAGCCCAACAACTTAATCACTACACTATATTGGATCTATAGAATGATTCTACTACTTTGCCTTGTGTAAAGAGATGTGCTACAGTGCAGCTTTGCAAAATGTGGAGTCAGAGGCAACTCAAAACATTTTGAATTCCAGGGGAAACGTGCAGCTTCAAAATTGTTTTAAGCTTTCACTTAAATTTATTTCTCAGCCTGGGTCCCTCATTTGGATTACTGTATAAAAGTAATGTCACTGATTGTTGCAGCGTTACACTGAATGTAAAATATAAAGCATTATTATAGGTATTATAGGTATGGTAAGGTCTTAATGGTTTTGTTGACTACAAACTACTTTGAGTCCTTAAAGCGGGCAGCCTATAAATACTTAAATAAATAAGCAAATCAACAAACAAATGCATTGATTACCTTCAATAATGTGTTTCCTTGAAAGTCCTCTTTCTGTTTCAGCTCTGCAAAAATGTACATATTTATTGTTCTTTGTGTTCATACTTTTGATTTGCATAAAAAACTATTTGTCAAAAATAATCTCCAAATGTTTTACTAATAATAATGCCTTTGCATAAAGTATACTACCATATGTATTGGACAAACAATCTATGGCATAAGATTTTTAGTGGCCTGCTGTTCTGCTGGCGTGAGCGAGGAAAAGGGAGAAGAAGCTCAGTTTTGGCCTTGAAGGGCATCTGTGCTGTCACGAGGGCTGATGAGCTGACTGGGCTGTTGTGGGGAGATGTAGAGACAGCAGTCCCAATAGTGCAGCCTGGTATATACTGTAGGCACTGGGGACTAGAGCCCTGGGGGGACATCCACCTCCTCAGTTGCTGGGGGACATGCTGCTGGTCTGACCAAAACTGGAGAGAAAGAGAAGGAGAGGGGAGAAAACATCTGTGCAAAACGGAGTGGCTGGAGAAAAAAGTTGGAGTGAAGTTACGTGAGTGTGCAGAGCAGTTACCGGTTCCTGGTCAGGAAGGGGAAGAAAGGTCTGTGTGGCTTCCTTGGAAGAAGGGAAGCGAAGACCCAGAGAGAGGACATCCTCATGCCAGGCCCAGGATGGGAAAAAGGAGTTTGTCAGTCATTGGCAAAGACCTGGTCATGGGGAAGGACTGGGCAGAAGACCCTGAGAGAGGTTCTTCCCTTAAGAGAGAAGCAGTAGGTGTTCAGCTGAGCAGATCCAGGAGAAAGTCAAGTGGTGCTGAGCATACTGCGTCCAGCCCATTCCTTTCTTTTCACTCTCTCTCTTGATAAGCCCAGAAACAGGGGAGGGAGAAGGAGAGAAAGCAGGAATGCTAGAGGGGGATAATCTCTGGGAGGGAGACTTAGGAGGAAACCTGATACTGGGTGAACACTGGGATTGTGTTGCATATTCCTTTTGTAAATACTTGTTGTAAGTAGCTTCACTGTAAATAGTAAAAAGCATAGAAGCCTCCACTGTCCTGCTTTTCTGCATCAACTGCCACCCTTGCATAGCGAAATACACCTCCAGTTCAAAGAGAACCCTGTCACAATGTGACACAATTCTCTCACCGAAACATTCTTTTGCCATCCTTTTTTTTAAAGGATAATCATCTTGGTTTTGACCATAAACTATTACTTCTCAGCAACTAATTGGTGACTACTTCTTGGCTCAGAAGCTATATAGGGTTGGACCCAGCTAATATTTACATGGAAGACCCCCACAGATTATAAGGTTTAGGCTACATTGCGAAGCTGAAAAAACATCCTGGAGAAAAGCAACAGCAAGCCGCTTCCACAGTGCTGTCAAGAAAATTATATGAGCATATTCATGGGGTTACCTGGAGTCAAGCTTGACCTGAAGGAGACTTTTATCTATATATTCTTTTAAAATGTAAGGTAAGCTTAAATCTACCAGGTATCAAAGTTAGCCAGATGCACTGTTAAAATTAATCAGTAGGCATAGAAACGGATTCTCAAGATGAATGATTCATTCAAAATCCTTTGGTAAAGAATAATTCACTATGGATTTTAGAGGTTTTTAAAAAGCCAGACAATTAAAACTTCCACTTTATTCAGAATATATATCAAAAAATGTAATCCCCGCTGAATTATTATGTTGCTTATTAATATTAATATATAGTCTGACATTAATTTAGGATGCTTTTTGGTTCTAGAAGCAATAGCATTTGAAAATTATAAAGCTTTCAAATAACAAATCACATCACGCTTTGAACAAAATTCTTGGTATCCATAATTCTGTAAACATTTTCTACTTTGGCACTGATCCAACAATAGAAATGAAAAGAAGGCCCTGTCACCAAGAAAGTGCACCTATTGGTAGCCTAGGATTGTAAAGAAGGTGTCAGAAAGTTAAGGCCGAGATTGGTGTCTTTATATGTTCAAAGGAAAAGGAAAAGGAAAAGGAAATAGTTAGTATGCTCTGTGAAGGCAGCACAATAAGAACAGATAACAAAGAAAAACCAATGTTGCTCAATTCCTATTTTGTCTCTGAATCTGCTTCAACAAAAGAGCATGCATTCCAACAGCAGATTATAAAGCGAAGGATGAAGGGGCCAGATTGAAGTTTGAGATGAATAGAAACATAGCCAGGGCATATGGCACCCCTTGAATGAGTTTAAATCTCTAAAACCAAATGAATTGCCTCTTACGGTCCAAAAGGAACTTTCACAAATCATGGAAAACTAGTGTAGTGCCAGTTGACTAAGGGAGGGGAAATGCTGTTTCAATCTTCAGAAAGAGGAAAAAAGAAGATCCAGGATACTATTGACTGTCAGTATGACACATAACTGGGAAGATTCTAGAGCAGTTCATAAAGAGCAAACTGGAATCATCTTGCAAACAATGTAATAACGATTAGACATTGGTATGAATTTGACTAGAATTTATCCTAACAGACTATTTTATTTTTTTATTAGTTTACCTCCTTAGTAGATTAAGGTAATGTTGTAGATGTAATATAGCTTCATTTCAGCAAAGCATATGACAAAGTAGCCCATCACATGCTGACTAGCAAAGTAACTAAATTGACCTGGATAACATTACAATTAAGTGGATACATAGCTGGAGCAAAAACTGTATTCAAAGGAGTAATTCATTCATTGTCATTAAAATGGAGAGAGGAATTGGGGGTGGGGGGGTTGTCACAAGGATCATTTCCAAGTTCTCTACTCTTTGATATTTTTAGTAATGATTTGAAGAGATTAAATTATTATCAGATTTGCAGGTAAGACAAAAATTGTGTGGGATACCTTGTGTATCAGAAGACAGAAATAAAATTAAAATAAATATTGATAGGTTAAAGCAGAGGTTCTTAAACTTTGCATTACTACCATCCCCTAATATGATAAACAAAATGACGTGATTCCCCCATGAATAAAATGAATTACTATATTTCATTGTGGTTATGCTCAGGCAGGAAATAAATATGTCACTTCATAATTAACTTTTAATTTATATAACACAGAAGTTCTCAAACTTAGAAAGCAAAAACAAGGCCTGGAGTGTGTTTTCCAAGTGCTCAGGCTTTGCCTATGCAAGCCTGATCAAGTTTTTAAAAAGTTTGTGAGACCTCCTAAACTGCTCATGCATAGAAATGAATTGAAAAAAAAAGGGAATTAGATATTATGAAGACAAACACCGCTATCTGCTGAATTCAGTCCTGATCAGCTTTTGGTATACCATCCTGGGAGTGCATTGTATTAATAGCAGCAGACAGCATGAGCATAACCACAAGCTTATGTACTCAATGGATGAGTTTTCTTCCCATATTTCCCTGAATTCGCTTGGAAAACAAGGACATGTGTGATGTCACAATCTTTAAATGGCTCATCGGCACACCATTTACCTCACAATATGTGTGATAAAGCAACGATTACCCTAAAGTGATTCTCTGAATCAAAAGCAAAGTACTTCACTTAGGAAAAAAAAGTGAAAATCACAGGTATAAAATGGGGAATATCTGGTTTGGTAACAGGACATGTGAAGAAGGTCTAGGAACAGTAACCAACTGCAAACTGAATATGAGTCAGCAGTGTGGTGTGGCTGTAAAAAAGGCAAATACTATTTTAGGCTTCATCAACAGAACTATAGTTTCCAAATCATGAGAAATAATAGTTCTACATTATTCTGTGTTGGTCCAATTACTGCGTTTCAGAAAAACCGAAATAGGTTCAAGAATAATCAGGGACTAGAAAGTTCTGTGATGAGAAATTGAAGCAGCTGGACATGTTTAGCTTTCAGAAGGGAAGACTACAGACAATATGACATTCTTCAAATACCTCAAAGAATATCACACAGAAAGTCAAGACCTGTTCTTAATTATTCCAGAGTGCAGGATGTGTAGTAATAGATTTAAGGTACAGGAAGGAGATTACAACTGAATGATAGGAAAAACAAATCCTCACAAGAGCAGCAGACAGTAGATCCAAGAGAGGAGATAGGCTTCCCTTCCCAAGATGTGTTTGAGCAGAGGTGAGACAGCCATCTGGCTTAGATGCTCTCATTTCAGGGGTATCTGAAGTCAAGATGGTAGCCACCATAGCACGATTGAAGTTCCACTCATTTTATGGGTGTCACACACACGACATACACAAAAAACAGGCAGAGCTTCTATCACACTGTGGTGGCTGCCATCTTGACTGTTGTGATTGCACCTTGCAGACATCCCTGTTCCATCTGGATTCTCAAACGGAGCCGTGCTTTGATTAGATAGACTCAAATGACTCCTTCCAAGTTCTGAGATTCCACCCTTCTTTCTCCTGAGCAGATTTTGGAGCAACAATATTATTCTTAGTACATGTTTTAATTATTTTTCATGTGCTGAAGAAGTGTGACACCAATGTCCTTTTTGTCTAAAACTTCTGACTACGAATTCTGACATCATGCAAGTAAAGAAGAAATGGATGTAGGCGAGGGTTCAAATCTAAAGGTAAAATAAGAGATTTGGGACATCTGCTCTTTGCTTTTGGTTTAACTTTGTTTTATTTGCCATGTTGTGTTATTGTCTTGCTCATTAAAACACTGAGAAGTGAAATGTTTTAAAAATTGTTCGACATCTTGATGGAAAATGAAGGCCACAATAAAAGTAACAGATGTAGAAACCTTCCTAGTCATTCAGGGAGTTAATTGGGCCTTGGGGATGATGAATGCTCCTGCAGGCTTAATAAAAGGCCCACGTGTGTGTGTGTGTGTGCATGTACACATGCACATGCATGTACACACACAAAATCAGATAATTCATTTGAAATTTAAACTACAAATTGGAGTTGAGGCTTTCTTCGGATCTGAGGGGAATCTCTTCACTACTTCCTGCTCTCTGCTGCTCCAGAGACCTCCTAGAAGTCAATGGCAGAGAAGGCTGCATGTTCTGTTTGCTCTCTCTGTCCAGAGAGCAACAATGCTGCTGGAAAAAAAGAGAACAGGTTTTGAGTCTGAAGCAGCTCCATCCCAAAATGAAAAGAAGAAACCGCATCTTCATTTCCCTCACTCTCCTCTGCTCCTAATCTGGCATCTGGTAAAACAAAGATGATTCTTCTGCCTGGAGCATAGGATGGAATCCACAAAACTCTTCCTTTTTCAGCTGCAGCATTCATGCTGAGGATGAGAAGGAGAATAAGGAAAACAAATGGGGGAGGGAGTTCTTCTGAAATATATGTTTATGAAAGCCAAAGGGTTTAAATAGGCTTCCAGAGCAGCCATTTGAGGAGGTGTTGGGGGAGGGAAAAAAGGATAACTATTGATCTCATTCCTGAGACGGTCCTCAGAATCTAACTTCTTTTACAGCACCTCTTAGCTAGGTAGAGAAGAAAATAACTTCTTTGATATATGGGTTCACAGTGGCTAATTGGGCTGAACATTTTCTTCTGATGAAGCAACTGCCGATATAGCTTTGGCAGAGCCGACATGCAATCATCTTTGAAATCTTTCCTTTTAAGTTCCCAATTTACAGTATTGCTGGCAATTCAACTTCCACAATGAGGAAAGGTTCTGAAACCTCCAACCCAAAGGAACAAGATCTTTGCATAGTGTCACCATTAAATCAAAATCACAGGCAACCAAGATGGAACATAGAGAAGAATAACAGTGAAGCTGAGGAGAGGAATAGAATTAATATAGATAGGTTATAAATATTTCACTAAATAAACCTGTTTCATAGTCTTCAGTTTCACCCAGTAATAAAAGTTGCATGGAAATTTTGAGGGAATCTTTCAATTTATTCATTGGGGTTCCAGTTTAGCAGAGCATACATGTATGAGTAGAAATAAATTCATGAAGAATATCTACAGACATATGCTTAAAATACAAAAAGATAAGTAAAGTTATTAAGAATATGACACAGAAAGTCAAGAAGGCCTGACAGAAAACCTGTATTTTTTAGATTTCTGTACTCATACTGGGGGCAAGAGGAAACTAAGAAGTGTTCTATTTTCCCTGTAGGAAACAAGCCAAAGAGAAGATCCTAGGAGGAATTTTCCAGTCAGAGAAAAGAAAAACACAGACAAAGAAAGAAACGAAGAGAGAATCCCTTGCTTACTGTCTCTACTCCTAATGCCTCTGCTGTTCAATAGGATAAAAATGCAAAGAATTAATGTTTCTGGAGTTGCATCTCTAATAAGCAAACCAGCCCTTTAATTCATCAAATTCTGCCAGAAATTCTACCCTGGCTTCTCCCAGTAAGCTCCATATTCAATCCAGACTCCACCCTTTGCACTTCTAGAAAGCAGTTTTATAGCAGTATGTGTCTTTTGGAACACCATTCCCACCTCCCACCCCCCTGAGATTAGATTGGCCCTGACCCTGCCAGCTTTTTGGAAAGCTTTGAAGACAGGGGGTCGGATTGTTAGTTGGAGTCCATGAGATTTTTGGCAGATTTGTAGCAAACTGGTTTTTTACCTCAGTTGTCATAATAGGTATTATGGTTTGCATTGTGATTTTAAATGTTGTTAGCCACCCCAAGTCATCGTGGGGAGATGGGTGGTTATATAAATTGAATTAATAATAATAATAAAACTTGATTAAACCAAAACTTGATAAACTAGTAAAGGGGATATTGAAGCCCTCAGCTGTCTATAGGTCATGGCACCTCTCCAACAATAGGTATTCTTTTAGGATGCATCATGAGGTGCAGGCTTGTTGTCCTGTTTTTAACTGAATGAAGCATTTTTAAAGCAAAACCCATTCAGTTCTGAAAAATTTAGTCTCTAATTCTAGGGCTGAAGATAATTTTAGCCAGTAAAATTTGTATGGCAGTCCTATGACAGAGGAAAAAATTATTTTCTTTTTCATTTATCCCTCTATGGGGGAAGAAAGAGAGCAAGCAAGAATGTGAGAGCACCTGAACGCAAGCTCTGGCCCCATTCTCCATGAAAGAAAATGGTCTTCTTGATTTGGTCTTGCTGCAGGAAATGATCTGAGCGTATGCCCATGGGTGAGGCAGATATTTTTAACTCTCTTACATTTAATAAAAAGCTTTCATTTCTGCAAAAACTGACTATTATTCACACCTACCCTGTTCCCCAACTGATAATAAGTATTACATGGAAGAGAATTCTGTTCCCCAAAGGTCTTATGGTTGAAATTATGCAACTGAGAAGCAGCAAAGGAAGAAATGTGGTTATGATATAATGTTCAGAACTTCTAAGATAACATGTAAAACAGAAGATACTGAGGTTACTAAATTATGACATTTTATTTGTGTCACTTCAGACACCCCTGTTAAGCCCTAAGAGGCTGGGAAACAAGAACCATTTACAGAAAGATATTTATTGCTAGTAGAGTAATAGAATCTCAAAAGCCTACCAAAGTCAATCTCCCACACAACTTCTACCTAGTGTGATTTAAGGTGGAGTTACTCTGAGTCGCCTACTCATGCTTCTCTCTTTCCCAGGACTCAAGAATCTGTTCTGTAATGGCCTGGTTTCCCCTTGTAACTGTCTTGCTGTTCCCTCATTGTTCCCAAGGTCTGTTAGGCATTCCATTACACCACTTTCCTTTCAGACTCACTCTTTCTCTCCACCATGAAATAAATGCACAGAGGGTGATGACACCCCTTCCAGTTTACGAAGATGAGCCAGACCTCTCCTCTTCCCTTCTAATGCCATCCCTCCCAGCCCTGGTAGCTCATCTTCAGGCTGCCAGGGCTGGAAGAAGCTGGCAGGAGAAGGGGGAAGATGTCTTGTTATATTGTAGCATCTATTGGCATGCCTGAAAAGCAGGTGACATATACTGGGAGGTTGTGGGATGAAGTGGGAGAGATCCTACTTCACCACACAGCTCTTCAGCACCGGTTAGTTGATTTTTCAGGCTACTTTTAAACATGGGTTTAGTGACCTCCTGAGAGGGTGCTAAACTCATGTTCAGACTCCTTCTGAACACAGGTTTACTGCTCTTTCAGAAAACTGTTGAAACTGTGCTTAAAAGAAGCACAATGAATAGATGACAAGGGTGTGGGGCAGTTGCTTGGTGCAGTGGGAGAGGTTCCTCCTACTTCCTCTTACATCCATTCATCAGTGTATCTGTCAGATGTGAAGGCTATTTTTAACTACTGGTTTAGGGTTCTTCTGAAAGATCATAAACCCATGTTCAAAAGCAGCCCAAACAACAGCTGACAGGCAAGAGAGGTCTCTGAATGTTAACATCTGGTTGTCGACCTCAGTCAGAGGTCCACTGTGAACTAGTATAGAGAGGCTCCCTCTTGCTTCATTCTGCAACTCCTCCTACCACTGCTAGTCTAAGGATCAACTTGGAGACTTGGTGAGTTCAGAAAACTACCTAGCTTGAAACATTCAGACTATCCTACAGCCCAGAGAAGAATGGCTATGAAGGACAATGTACAGTGACTAAAGGGAAGGGAGCGTGCTTGCACCAATCTAAAGCTTCAAACGGGCAACAGATGGCAGGCCAGTATCTCACTGTGACACTGACTGAATTGTTGATGAAGCATGTCAGATTGCAACCACAGCAAAATTTACATGGCTTGTTACTTGCTTAAGGGGGAAAAGACTATCTTAACCCTGGAACAGCCAAGGATAATGTTAAATTGCCTCAGGTATGAGTGGGATGACATAAAAGCAACCACATGAGGAAAAAAGGATGCAAGGACACGTTTAGCTATGGTTAGGTACAAATGGGGAAATACCCCATGTTTCATTGTGATATTTCTGTGTTCAAGAGAAGTATCCTTTTTCTCAGTATTTCAACATTTCTGGGACTCCCTACAAAGAGTCATATTTATGGTTTGAACTTCAAACTGCACATTGTGTGCTAAATATACAATCCAATGCCAAGTTTGATTCATGTATTTCAATCTTCAAATGAGATATTACATTGCCAAATATGTTGCATTTTAATTTCTTTTTGAAAATGGGCATGATATTTGACTGTAAAATTAAACTGTGTTATGAGCATGTGTATCAAATTATCAGTTTAAACCTGTACTTTATGCAAAAATCTAAGTTCAGCAAATCTTCTCTGGACAAATCTAGTCTTTTGGTGATTTACAGATCATGCTAAGCCATGGTTTTTAACTCTGCTTCATTGAATAAGACACAATGGGTGTGCTAGACCATAAATCAGATAAGCTACATTACAATTTAGCATTTTGCATGAACCAAGCTACTGTGCAGGAAATGCAAGCTTGTCAGTTCATGTTGACATTGCAATGTGTTGCTTGCAGAGAAAAACTGGTTGATCCAAACTTAAATCTTTCCAGCAAATTCATTATCTCCAACTGAGCTCTACAACCAGATGTAAAACTGGTTATGGAAATTCAGACTCCCTTTTCTTTTCTACAGCTTGATTGTATGTGCTGTGGGAAAGGTAGCATAAAAATACAGTCAAAGGCTGTCTTTGCCCATGTTGCCCATATTGCCCATCCAAAAAAGGGCCTTTGAAGGGGAGAATGAGAAACAGGAGAGAGTTTAGCATCCCTCTCATTAACATGCTGAGCATTTCCCATAAGTTCTCCTTTTCTAGCATGAGAAGATCTTCTCTACATGTATTTACTGAGAGAGTAACCAGTTTTAAAATCAAAAGGCTTGCTTATTCTTTTTTGGAAGAACCAAATTAGTGCCTTGACCAACCAACAGCACCACATCATGTTGATGCTTATTATATAAATACATATACTGTATAAATACACACACACACCCTGAGAGAAATATATTATTTCTGTAGCACAGGAATTCACAGTATACTTACTTTCCACCCCAGTAGAGTTTTGTTGTAATGACCAGACTTGATCTCCTAAACAAACCAAACACATTAACATTTCAATTTTGTTCAAAACAGATAAATACCATTTTAGTCCCCGGTTCTTCCTAATGCGGCCTAACCTCCTACATCTTCAAAGGAGCTTGTCCAATTTAAACTATGGCTCTAAAGAGAAAGTCATCTAAAAGACAAAGCGCAGTTGCTGACCTCATGGCCTCTACATGTTAAGTTGTAGTGTTGTGACTGAATGCTCAGTGTAATTTTTTTCTTCAGAAAACATCCATAGTATGAGAGATTTGAGAAAATAAAGTAGAGACATCTTATCATCATGCCAAATATCTAAAATACATGCTGAAGCAGCTCTCAGCTACAGAACGTTCCCATTTGTCAGCAGTTGGCAATGAATATGTACAACATCTGAGTGCCCATGGAACCCCAGAATTAAAAAATACCATAGTAATATAATAATGCAATACAAGATAAATCATTCTTTCTTTTGTTTATTCAATTGTTCTTTTTTTTTTCTTTTTATGTTCTGTTTTATTTAAAAATAGTGTTAGTAACAGTAGAAAGTAGTAGGAAGAAGAAGTAGCAGCTGTAGCTAAAATTTCATGGGATTGTCTCATGAGATCTCTCAAGATCTTGGGAGTAAAATCATATACAGTACATCTCACAAAATATGGTATTTCATCCATTTGTTTGTTTGTATCAGGCACCTGAAAACATTTCTGACTTATGTTACACTATGTGCTTTTGCTTCCTTCCCTCAAAAAGAGAGTGAGAAGTTTCTTCCATTCTTCATTATTTCCCTGAATTATCATGTGACTGGTATGATCTCTCTGAAAAACTGTCAGCATGCTGGGCCTTTTAAAGTTTAAAAAAGGGAAAGGGATTAAGTGAACTCCACTTCCATCTCTACCCAGTCTCGCAAGTTTTTCTACAGATTTTTTTTTTCCAGTAAAAAAGTGCTGGGCTGGGAAAACTACTCTGCAAAAATTAGCAGCAGAAAGAAGCAGAATTTTGATGATCTACACATCCCTAATCTCTAGTACTTTCAGACAGGCACTCTGGGGAGGATATATGTAGGCGCTGTATTTTCAAACATTTGAACCAGGACAAGGTCAACGGGCTTACAAAGGTAAAGTTGAACGGTACCAGTCTTTCATAACCTGCTTGCACAAAGGGGGACTGAATTCTGACAGATAGCTAAATCAATGTCCTCCAGGCAAAGTAAGAGAATGAGTTTAGTCCTTAAACATCCTTCCTTTCCCTTTTTCTGTGAAGACAAAGAGGGGAAAAACTGTGACACTACTGCAGATAGACACCTACAGCATTACTTCCTAGGATTTTTCTATAAGCTGGTAGAATGTCTGGACACATACATAAAACCAGGACAATCTCAATAAAATTGGGACCTGTATACACCTAAATATACAGAAACTTGGAAAAGCTACACAGCCTTAGAACCATGTCCCTGGTGTTTATCTAAAGACATCTTCAAAGCTTTGCCTACCCAATAGCTCCATAAGGGCAAGGTGTTGGAGCATACCAGCTTCTTACACAAATAGTCAATAGAGCAGTTGGTAGAAGGTGGTCTCTATGGTCTCTTGCAGAAATAAGAAGCTCAGTATTAGCCAGGCAGTAGGCTTGGATGTGAGATCAGTTCTGCAAAGCCTTAGCAGCAAAATCTGGAGGAGTTCTCTGAGTCTGAATTTATTGTTCTCCATTCTACAGATAACACAAAGAGCATACAAACAAAACATCCTACCTCCAGCCTTTCTTTTTTATAATGTTTCCCAAAATAATTTCAGCCCTGTAAGAACAATAAAAACATATACATATAATAAGTATTTTCAAAATTCATTTTTTCAGGTGACCATTCATTTCACTATTCACAATATCAATCCGTATTTAATCATTTGCAGTTTCATACAAAGAGAATATTGAAAGTTTGAATAGATCACCTGTTCCTCCTCTTTTTTATGTAGCTAATAACTTCAGTGTTGGAACTGGGCAGAAATGAAATACACTTTTAGCTGTACATGAAGCACAGAAGTCTTTCATCAGCTATAATTTCATAGTTCTTCTAAGTATGCCAAGGAATTATGCCATGGTTTGAAGTTTTTCAGTTCAGAAACAGTTTCTCAGTTGGGGGGAACAGAAAATACTTTGGTTGCTGACTTGTATAAAAGGAGGAATGAAGATGTTGCAAACAAGGACAAAAGACTGATGCATATATCAGCTTATGACTGCATGCATCTTAGTCCTTATCTTTGAGGTAGAGAGGCAATATAAATATCATAGATGTTAAGTCACATGTGAATCAATGTTTTATTCTCTCTCTCTCTCTTTCTCTCTCTCTCTCTCTCTCTGAATCATTTTACTCTGTCTCCAAATGTCACAGCAAAGTTTGTGTCCATGGAGAGCAACACATCATAATTTTTACTCAGAAAATATCACCTAATCATCTGGTCACAAAATACAAACCAAACAGCCTGTGGTGCCTTGGATCACATCTGCAAGGTACAGAATACTTTTTGTTGTGCTCAAACTGTCTTATGAAATGTTAGTATTTTTTTCAGAAAGCAGTCTTCCAATATTCTTTTACCTCTAAGTAAGTATTTCTTCACATTTTACAAGTTCAAAGCCTTTTGTTTTTGGTTCTAATGAATATCTTGAGATTGGAGACTAAAATCTAGAGGAATCCAGGTTCAGAGTAAGTGTTATATAAGCCTTACTGCATTTGAAGTCCCTAAATACGATATTTTTACTGTAAACCCCCCAGAGTCACCCCACAGTGAGATGGGTGGTGACAAATTTGAAATAAAAATAAATAAATAAATTCAGTACACACAGAGAATTGCAGAAATAAGATATATGGAGATCCTGAGAATTGAGGGAAATCCAGATAAACCGAACAAGAAGGACATCAGATCGATTGCCTATGTCTCTGTGTGTTTGTAATGTTTGCATGTATGTAAAGAAACATGGATGAAAATGGGATAAGCATGCTGCTGGAATTCCCCAAAACCTCTGAGCTATTGCAGAGAACTCCATTGCTTTATGATGGTGTCAACCAAGACAGAAGCTGTGCATGAGTCTGGCCTGGTTGTGATGGTTTCCTTCTGTTCCCTGAGTTCTGCCTACTACAATGGTCCAGCTGTTGCAGCCATCTGTCAGCAGACCTGGAGAGAATTTTCAAAGTAATGACTATTTTTTGAGATATTTTGTGAAAAATTTTGCTCAGGCAGTTTCCATTATCACATTAACACAAAGGAGTTACTGTAATCCTAATAAATTGGACTATGGGAATCTCCCGTCCCACTCATATAATGAATAAAACAAATCCCTAGTTTTCCTGTCGGAAGAACAGCCGCAAGAATTTTAAACACAACAGTATGTGAAACAGATAGAAGCACGTTCAAAAATGTGCAATGAAAGTCACAGCACAGAGCTTTTGGTTTTACTTAAGTGCAAGGAAGTAGCACTTGTAACATGATTTAAAACAGATTCCCATCAACCTGGTACTTTTCAGATGGTACTTTTCATACTTCACCTCACATAATCTTTAGCCAGTACAACTAGATATTATAACAGTTATTTTTATGAGACTAGTGAAATGACAGTATCCCATTCTTAGATTGCCTGGAATTACTTATTTAGATGGAACTGGCAAGTTTAGGGGGATAAGTTGAGGGTGAAATTCTGAAGTTCACTGAGCTGCTGATGAAGCTAGTAGGAATTCTCCTGTAATATGTCCTACGATGCTAAATGCCTCCATATCAGTTATGTGAAATGGAGACAGGAGAATCCTCATTAATTTAAACAAACACATTTCTTCTATCTTACGTTCTGTCTTGTTAGTCCAAGAACATAGGAAGTTGTCTTATACTGAATAATTCCATTGATCCATCTAACCTAATTTGGTTGATACTGATAAACAGCACATCTCCATGTTTTCAAACAGGAGTTTTCCCAGTCCTATATGGAGAGGCCAGGATTAAATGTGGGATTTTTAAAAAATGAACTACAGTTCAGCCACTGTCCTACATGATTCCCACTGGCAAAGCCACAACATTCAACTGAGAAATAAGATCACTATCTATGACAGGAATAATAGGAGCATTGATACATACTTTCCAGCTGCATATACCTCTGCCGTGTCAAAGAGATTCACGCCACTTTCATAAGCAATTGTCATCAGCTGTTCAGCCACCTTTTGGAAACAGAGACATGAAATTAATCTCAGAAATATAAAAACTCTCCCTTCCCAATCTTCCAAACTTTGCAGGAATGACTCATAATGAAATAGTTGCCCAGAGATGAATCAGACTTTATTACCAAATATAGGTCAATTTTTAAATCATGGACAGTGGACAGAACTTAGGGATGCAGGAAAGAACATCGTTGCTATTTCTTACCAATACTCCCCTTTTTGAACCTGGGACCTTTGTTCACACTAATTCCAAGTAGTTAAGCACATCAGCTTCCTAACTCATGGTTTGAAATTGGCTTGTAATCACTTTCAACACTTAAGCTTTATATGATATATAGTCCACACTGTAATAAACCACTTGATAGTTAACTGTTTATCAAATAAGCTTTATTGTGATATACATAATAAATTCCCAACCATGAAAATTTATGCTACAATACATTCATAAGCATTTAAGAAATCATAAGAATCTTTGGCTTTAATTTTATTTTAGTACTAACTACTGAGGACTGCAGCTTGACATCGCAAGTCTAAGCATATTTGGGTGAAAGCAAGTCCCCATAATTGGAACAGGAGAGCCTATCTTTAAAGATCAGGTTAAGAAAAAAATGCTATTTTCCACAGTCAAAGAAATGTTGAAGTATGCATATACACTCCAAAAAAAAAGGCCCACTGAATTCAATGAGAGTTGATTTCTCCTACATAAATGGGCACATTATAACTTAAAGCGGTATAAATTATAGGGAACATCGGAAGTTGGAGTGGCTAGAAAACACCCAATATATTATATTATGTGAAGTGATGGACCATGCGTCTAAGAACAGAGATTTGAGATTCCCTGATTTGCATTTCATTCTCTTAATAGCTTTACTATAGCACCTTGGCAGTATACATGGAACAGCCAGTTTTAGGTGGTCTATCTCTGGACCAAAAAATGTACAGTGCTTTATCTGGGAATGGCCGAGTGATATTGGTCTCAGCTTGGCTATGGCATGCCTGTTTCAGGAGGTGGACAGCAGGAAAAAGGCAAGGCCATTAGCAACTGCAGGTAAGGGAAAGAGAGACCCTGGGAAGATCAGGGAGGAGTGAGCCAGCTAGTTGGGTATCCTGTGCTTGAACTCAAGGGTGGTAGCTAAGGGGAGGTAAAGGAAAGAGAGCCAGTTTCGTTTAGTGGTTAAGACACCAGGCTAGAAAGCAGGAGAGTGTGAGTTCTTGTCCCGCCTTAGGCATGAAAGCCACCTGGGTGACTTTGGGTGAGTCACTCTCTCTCAGCCCAACTCACTTCACAGGGTTATTGTTGTGGGGAAAATAGGAGGAGGAAGGAGCATTAGGTATGTTCACTGCCTTGAATTATTTATAAAAACAATAAGTTGAGATAAAAAATCTAAAAAAAAAGAAAAAAAAAAGGAAGCTGCTGAGAAAATTGGCCAGCAGGCTACACACAGGCCATGGAGAGGACAAGGAGAGAGGGGAGGTACATCAGTCTTGTCAACTAGCCCTGTAAGATCCCTCTAGATTTTTATTTAGCCAAAACCCAGAATAAACCTGCCCTAGCTTTAAAGCATATGCTATGAGTTCCATATTACTTTCTTTGGAGAGCAAGTTGGTCAAATTTAAACTGGGTTGCTACATTACTATAGATAAAATACTATACATTCAACTTGATTAAGAGACATGAGGTTTTGGTTCCTCTATATGATCATTATTTGCTATATCCTGTGGCAGAAATAGTTTCAATTTATACAGATTTCTGTGACATGGCTTATAATTTTAATTAAAACATTAAATGTACGTATTTATTTCTAGATTACTCCAGTTCTGTTTTCTAGATTGTCATTAAATGACACATCACTCACCTCATCTGAAATTTGACCTCCAAACGTGACCCAGGTCCCTAGAAAGTGACAAAGAGATTGGTTAATGTTTAGGGCATACTTTTCTTAAACCAAAATACATTATAATTAGGACATTTGTTCCTTATAGGATCTCCTGATGTTTGATTTGTTTGAGGGATCCATTACTTTATGAGAAAGTACTTCATGGACACGGAATTTTAACCACTGTACTAGCTGACCAGTTCCAGCTCCCTAAACAGCTTTGTTTTAACTAAGTAGGGATTCCTCCCTTTTGAAGGACATGGATGGAAATGTCTTGAGATGATATGGATGCTTCCATACCACTAGCATGGATGGCTCTATGATCAGTGTCAGAATTGATAAGCCACATCTGTCTTTGGGAGTCAAGCTAATTTATTTCTAACTCTTCTCTGGTTTCTCAGAAACAGCAGCAAAGCTGGCATTTTCCTCTGATGTGCTGCAATTTGGCCTCCATTGTGGGTGGTTCTTTTCCCACTGGGGGGAATTCTTGCTATACCCTGGCTCATGAACTCAAACCATTAATCTTCCTTCTCCCTCAGTTCACCAATTTATTCCTGCAATTTCTCTCTTCCTCTATACATTGGAATGGATCTTCCCCTTCCCCAATTCAGCTGCTTTGGCATCCTGAAACGAGCTATGCTGACATGCCATCAATGCATCCTTGCAACTTGCAGGAAGTTTGTAATGCAATAGTAGAATGTAGCCCAGAAGCCTCTGGAGCATTTCAGTGCTTTTGTTTTACATTTTTTATAATCGATCTTCCTTTAAGCCCACAGTTTTCTAAATAAACCACAAGAGAAGTGCAGAGAACTACACATACTGAAAACATGTACTGACTATATCTGTGCTAAAAACATGAAACAACGTTATTCTCTTGTGTGTGGCGAGGCAGTAAGGGGATTTTTGTTATTCTACAATCAGTAGGAGCTCAGGAGGTAGACCCTGATTATATGACATTCTTTGTACTGTCTGCATTAGATTCAATTTTGTATCATCTTTCTTTTCTTTTTTTATGATAGATAAATAAATTAAGAATACAATCTATTTGCAATAAATTCAATGGGAATAAATGGAGCTGGACAAGGGCCTGCTATTTCCCCAAAAGCTTGCATCACAGAAATTCTGTTAGTCTTTTAAATGAATAAAGAAGTAAAAGGTCTATCTTTCTCAAAGTGAGAAGTTAGCACAAGAAAACCAAGCCACTTCATCAGAATTAACTTAAAATATCCACAGATAAAATACAGATAAATTTTTATATTTAATTTTTGTAATTACAAACCAAACACACGAATACAGCAAAATGTTCTAATATGCTTACTGTATAACTTTATTGTAATATGGTTCTAAAGAGTACATGCAATGTACTTGGTTTCTGCAATTCATGCTTGTATAACCTGGAAGATGACAATACATACACACATTACTTGCTCGTTCCCACGAGCAAATACTCCTGAACTGTGTTATTCAAGGATACTTGCAACATTGGCTGACCAATCCTTCAATTATTTCTTCTCAGCAACCTTCCTTGTTTCAAAGGACAGGTTTTCAATATTCAGTATCTGCCAGTGAGGAAAAGAAAAAATCCCTTCCTTTGTTTAATACATAGAGGTAAAAAATTGTTAGACCCTGCTGATCAGTAAAAACTGAAATAGCCTTTGTTTCTGTTCTCACGGGAAAGCTTTACACATTGTGATGTGGAAAGCAGAGTGCTGAAGTGTGAAAAATTGAATTAAAACATCACCCTTTGCACATTGTTACCTAGTTACCATGTCACTTTGATTCAGTCACAGTTACAGAGCAACCCCAAAGATGCCAAACTCAGTGTATGCATGCTGTAATACAGGGCTTGAACTGGGGCAATAGTGAGAAAATTTTATAAAGCACCATCAGTATTTTCCTAGTTTTAGACAAGTCATGTATCTGGAGGCTTTCAAAAATAACACTATGCAAGAATTCCCTACAAATCAAGAAGATGGACATCTCCTGCAGATATAATTCAAGCACCTAACACATACATACTAGCTATGGCCTAACATTATTGTATTCCCCTCTCGTTGCCAAAGGTCTCCAAGTCAGTTCACAAATAAAGTATAGGTGACACAATAAATCCAAACAAAATCTCAAACAAAATCTCATACAATTCAAAATATCCATTAAGTTCTACTGGACCCCTCAAAAGTGTTTTTAAAAAGCTGGCACTCATCTTTTCTATGCTAGAGATGTAGGAAAGCTGACGGGATTATGGTATTTTTGTTGCAGGTATATACAGGTTTTCTTTTGTGGGAATGTGTCTTTGTTGTCTGTTTTTTTCTTTTTTCCCCCTGTGGCTTAAGTTTTTTTCTTCTTATTTTCTCACCATAAACCTCTCCTTATATAGTAGGGTTGGGTTCCTTTTAAAATTATTTGTACAACAGTAATTGGCGCAAAGCCAATTGGGTGACCTTGGGCCAGTCACTTTCTCTCAGCCCTAGGAAAGAGGCAATGGCTAATTACTTCTGAAAAACCTTGCCAAGAAAACTGCAGGGACTTGTCCAGGCAGCCTCCGAGAATTGGACACGATTGAACAGGTTAAAAAAAATTGTAACATAGTGATTTAGTTTATTTACAATAATGTAAATTTATAACTACTTTTTAAAATGAAATATTAATTGCAATATTTTAAAAGTTTAATAAAAAATGGCCATGGGATGAAAGGAAAAAACAGGGCAGATTTAAAAGATACCAATAGATTTGTTCTTATAAATTGAGAAACTCTTGTTTCAGTATTGTCCATCAGGGACTAAACCTCCTTGCAGATTTGATCTGGCCACATCATGACCTCCAGATCTGCTTGTGAAAATTCAGCACTCTTTTCTAGGAATCAATGAACTGCCTTCTGACACGGCAGTCTCACCCTCTGGCACCCAAATTGATCTAAATGTTACAGCCATGCTTGTATAGCTTTTTTTTGGCAAAAATATAGAATTGGTTTGTCACTGCCTTTTTCTGGGACAGACTGTGGAGTTCCTTCTTCAAAGTGTTTTGGCTTCTCTCACACTTGCAGAATCCCACCTGCCCACACTTCTGTTGGGGATGACCCATTAGTAGCTTCATCATCATCCCCCTTCTGCCTTACAAGCAAGACAAGTTCTGATGAGTGCTACTCTCAAGGTCCTTGAAGCTACTGAGCCCTTACACATATCAAGACAGTAATGACAGCCAAGATAATGGAGGGTATTATTTCTGTCACAGTATTTCTGTGACAATAAAGATCAGAATAATTAAAGCAGTTTTCCAGTGGTAATGTACAGGTGTGAAAACCTAATACTAAGAAATAACCAAAGAAGAGAACTGCCTTTGAATTATGAATTTGGAGATATTACTAAGAATACCATGGATGCAAGAATGATCCAAAAACCGAACCTGGACCAAATAAAGAGTGAGCACTTCCTTGAGAAAATCAAAAGCATGCAGAAGCTCATGTACCTTGTGCCTATGATGTAAGCTGATGATGGACGAGAAGAACCATTATGCTTGGGAAAGTTGAGAGAAGTAGAAGAGGAAAACAACAAGTACAGTGGATAGATTTGATCACAGGATCACTATAATGTCCTCAGAAGAGCAGCAGATGATCACTTGGAACAGTTCGAGATGGCAAGCATGTGTCCATATGGTCACCAGATATCAGGCCTAATTAAAAAGCTTGGGAAAATGAAAAGTTTTTCTATATGGCCACTAAAGAGCACTATCTGTATGTTTCTCTGTGGAGGCCAGACTGTAGAAGACTCCTCTCTGTAGAACTGTCATGAGTAGCCTAATTTCATTTTGCTGGCACAGAAGACTCTCAAAATTCCACATTAGTCCACTGGTTCCAAAATGTATTTATAGACCAATCTTATAAAATGTATTAATAGACCAATATATAATCAGGATAGGATTATGGAGATACACATCCTGAATGAATGTATTTCCTATTACATCATGATGTTCGTCAAATAGCAGTCCTTTAGTAGATGATTTTTTTCTTTGATTTTCCTCATACTGCTTTTCTTTTTTATATATTGGCTAAGTTCCTTGTGGGCAGGGATAGTTTACTATGCATTTATGAAGCTTGGAAGAGAAGTGAGACCAACAAAATGACAAAAAAAAAAAAAAAATTAATGGAGTTAATTTAGAAAACAAAATAACCTGTATGGTTGAATAAAAATAGTATGGTAAATTAACATCTCAAAGCTTCTGTGGTTTTAGTGGAATAGTATGGTATTATGAAAGATCTAGGGGACACGGTGGCGCAGCGGCTTAATGACGCTGAAAGTTGCTGGCCAGAAACAGTTGACACTTCAGTGTTTCGAGCCCAGCTCCACGCAGCAGAGTGAGCTCCTGCTTCTTCCCCAGCTCCTGCCAACCCAGCAGCTTGAAAACTTATGTGAGTAGATAAATGTGTACTCTCACCCCAGTGGGAGGAAAAATGCTGGCGGCACCTTGCAAAAGGAGATGGGAGCAGTTGCCAGTAGTGCGGAAACCGTGCATGCCTGAAAAAGGCGTGAAGCAACGGAAACCGCGCTTCCTGTGCTCGCCAGCTGGGCTCTGCTCTAGGAAGGAGGCAATGGCAAACCACTTCCAAAACACCTTTCCTTGAAAACTGC